ATTCCAGAATGTCCTTGAGGAAATCTGTCAATCTCTGGCCTTCAGTTTCAAACTCTCATGTGTAACGTGGGGCTGAAACATAATTCTCAAAGTCCTTCCAGCCCTGGTCTGCCAGGATTCTTCCATGTTCTAGTTCAGTGATGGCAAACCTATGACACACGTGTCAGAGGTGACACGTGAACTCATTTTTTTGGTTGATTTTTCTTTGTTAAATGGCATTTAAATATATAAAAGAAATATCAAAAATATAAGTCTTTGTTTTACTATGGTTGCAAATATCAAAAAGTTTCTATATGTGACACGGCACCAGAGTTAAGTTAGGCTTTTTCAAAATGCTGACACGCCGAGCTCAAAAGGTTCGCCATCACTATTCTAGTTCAAAGAGGATCCAGACCCCTGAAAGTGATGGAACCTGACCATGGCTTTGCTCCCTTAGGTTAGGCCTTGATACCATTGGTGACAGGATCCTGGACTGAGTGACCACATAAGGTTTTTCTGATGATCTCACAATCCACACCAGACTTTGAACTTTGGGATTATTCTCTTAAGGAACAAGTGGTATTTAGTGAAGTGCCTGTTTGATGTGGCAGTGTGAGGTTCAGCTAAGGAAATGCAACATTTTCATTAGGCTGTCCACTGCCACAAAGTTTTGAATTATAGGCCTAGAACCTGCAGGAAACTTATTTTAACACTAGAGGCCCGGTGCATGAAATTCGTGCATTGAGGTGGAGGGGTGTCCCTCAGCCCAGCCTGCACCCTCTCGCAGTCTGGGACCCCTCACTTCTTATCCCCCGCCTGCTTGCTGCTCCTTACCTGCTCGGCTCGCTGCTCCTTAGTGCTGCCACGGAGGTGGGAGAGGCTCCCACCACTGCCGCTGCACTTGCCAGCCGTGAGCCTGGCTTCTGGCTGAGTGATGCTCCCTGTGGGAGTGCACTGACCACCAGGGGGCAGCTTTTGTGTTAAGCATCTGCCCCTTGGTGATCAGTGTGCGTCATAGTGACCTGTCATTTCGCTGTTCGGTTGATTTGCATATTAGGCTTTTATTATATAGGATTGAGGGTGGGGGATGTGCCCATCAATCACAGATCAGGTGCTATGCCTGGAACCAAAGGCATCTTAAGAACCCAGAATGGGGAGTGTTTTTGCCCTTGGTTGCCTTGGTTGTACATGTGTATTAGGACAATCTGCATTCTCAAACATTAAAGGCAAGATGGTTCCCTGCTCTGTTAGCTCTGCTTCTTAACTTGTAGTTGAACTTGTGCTGTGTGGATAAACACATGTTTGTGCATGCTGCTCTGCCAGTAACTGTCCCAAGTATAAAAAGGAATGGCATGGCCTACAACCCCTGCCCTCACAGAGATGAGGGAGCAAGCAGGGAGCTCTCATCCTACAGGGCTCAATGTGGTGTCAAGGGTATTTTGGGCATCTGGAGCAGGGACTGATTGGCTTGAGGAGCTTGAGGAACTTTAGTGGTTCAGCGAACGTGAAAGTGAGGCAAATCTAGGCTGGGTTGGCTATAGATTAGCAGGGCTTGCTGTGCCGAGCAAGGGAGCAGTGGAATTTGTCAGAGTTGAGCTCACACATTGAAGTTATTGAGTGACTTACACGCAAGGCCGTGACCCGGGCTCCCAACTGGGAAGCCCACGTGGCAGGGCTTTAGCTGGGGGAGCCGAGGACAGGCTCACATCTGCTCATCTGCTTACGTAACCCTGCTTCCCAGCTCCCAGAGCCAAGAAAACACACAAGCCAGCCCAGCAGGGCCGAGGGCCTGTGGTAGCACACGCCATGCGCCTCACAGCAAGGGAGCCTTGGCTTAGCATGAGGACTGTCATGAAGCCTTCAACCCTTTGTTTCTTCCCCTCGCCTCTCCCTGAGGCCTCCAGCCGTGGCTCTGAGACCCAGCCCCAGGTCTGCAAGGGTCTGGGCAGAGCTGGTCGCTGCCCCCCTGGAGTCTGAGCTCTATGAATTTTCTCACTGGGACTGAGCCAGGGGTGCAGCAGAGGACAGCTCCTGTGGGTGGCAGGAGATGTGCCGGACATTACCGGAGGCCTCCTGGCTGGCACTGGACCCAAGGTCTGGGGCTGCCACTGACTGCCAAGTGCTATCCACTCTCAGAGGTGAGATCTGCGGGATTCTCAGAGCTGTGGAGGCTTCACAGAGAGAAGGTGGGGAAAGAATTGCCAGATTGGGCAGGGAAGGCAGGATCCGGGGGTCAGTGTGCCTTCAGTGTGTTAGAGACGTGATGGGGGTTGTGAGAAGGGTGCAAAGAGTGAGAAGAGGCTGTTCAGTGATAAAGCTCCACATGAGCTCTTGGAGGAGCCAGTGGGAGTGGAGTCTTCTGGAGCAGGTTGAGTTCTGGTCCCTGAAATTTACAAAGGAGAAACCAGTATCCTGAGTGCAGGATAGATCATCCAGCAAGTCACTGATGGAGCTACACCAGGGCCCAGGCATCCTCTCTCCTCTCCAGGAAACCTCAGGACCACCTTTCTGGAACTCCTGAAGGGGCAAAACTAAGACCAGCCTGCAGGTGTCTGCTTCAGGAGGCTGGGCAGACCAAGTGTGGATTCCTGTCTTCTGGGCTGGTTTCCGAAAGTATGAGTAAGGTGGTAGGGTGACAGTCCGGATGCACTTGGGTTCCTGAAAATGGGGTTATGTTTAGTAGCATCTCGAGAAGAAAAGGTGCAAAGGCTTTGCAGATGTTGTGGGGCCCTCTGAAGTGAGAAGAGCCCGGTGACAGATCTTTTTCATGTTTTTCACAAGTGCACTGTGCAGCAGGGCCTCCCAGAAGACTTTGCCCGGGCCGGGGAGTCAAGCAGTTGAGGCCTGCTGGGCCCCGTTGGGAAGGGCTGCTCTGTGACCTGTGAGTTGTAGGAGACCCTGAGGGCCCTCCTTGCCTGCAAGCCCCGAGACTTGTGAAGATGGGAGGTTCCTCTCCCCATTGCCCAGCTTGCCCAAACAGAGTCACCTAGGCTCTGCCCTAGCTGGTTGGCTCAGTGGATAGAGTATTGGCCCGCAGACTGAAGGGTCCCGGGTTCATTTCCAGTCAGGGGCATGTACCTGGGTTGTGGGAGGTAACCAGTCCATGTGTCTCTCTCACATCAGTGTTTCTCTCTCTCTCTCTCTCTCTCTCCCTCTCTCTCTCTCTCTGTCTCTTCTCCTGCTTCCATTCTCTCTAAAAAGCAATGGAAAAGTATCCTTGGGTGAGGATTAACAACAAAAAAAAACAGGACCAGAATCACCTAGGCCCGTGGTCGGCAAACTGCGGCTCGCGAGCCACATGCGGCTCTTTGGCCCCTTGAGTGTGGCTCTTCCGAAGCCTTAGGAGTACCCTAATTAAGTTAATAACAATGTACCTACCTATATAGTTTAAGTTTTAAAAATTTGGCTCTCAAAAGACATTTCAGTCGTTGGACTGTTGATATTTGGCTCTGTTGACTAATGAGTTTGCCGACCACTGACCTAGGCTCCTTGTTAATTATTCACCTAGGTCCTTCCCAAGATCTCCCCAGTTCAGGCTCTCTAGGGGAAGGGCCTGAGAGTCCATATTTTTTACAGATTGCCTCAGGTGATCCTGATGATAGGTTTGGGGAAAACTGGTCCAGGCATCCCTTACTTAGTCCTAGAGTATAAAGCCACTACTCACCTGAGGGCACCCTAGGATATGGAAGCTGGGTCAGCCAGCAGCCCAGTGAGGGACTGATCTGTGAGGCCCCCGCCCCTCCAGAGAGGGAGGTACATGGCCCAGGAGGCAACAGGGCTTTGGAACCCTGAGGGTCCCTTTCCTCACCCCGGGGGATTGGCTGTCTGAGCTCTGTGGTAATGAAGAAAGGGAAAGGACAAGGCAAGATTGGGACTTTGCTTTTAAGATTCTGGCCTGTCTCTCCTTGCAAAGTTTGCCATTAGAGGAAAGAGGGAAGGGCATTTCTGGCAAAGAGAAAAGTGCAGTCATAGGCCTGGTTTATAAGAATGGGGAGGGAGGTAGAGCTGAGACTGAAAGGCCTTGTTGCCAAGCCTTGCCTTGTCCAAGGCGACACGGCCTTAGAGCCATGGGAGGTTTTTAGTGGGAAGGTAATGATCAGAGCTGTGTCTCAAGAAAATGAATGGGAACAGGTCCGGTGGCGATGGAGCTGGGTCAGCACTGGCGGGAGGGAACGCGAGTGGTGTGCTGGAGGTGCAGGGGAGGGGAGAAGGAGAGGAGATGGCGAGTTCGCACCTGTGAGCAGGCAGGAGGAGCAAGAGTCACAGCTTGCTTGTCTCCGGCTGTCTCATTTCAGGAGGGCGAGTGATCTCTGGGGACGGGTGCTCAGAGGGCCACATACTATTGATAAACAAGGTGGCAGAGGGTGCACACTGGTTCTCACTGGCATGTTTCAGGTGAACTTGCTCTGAGTTTGTGGTCAGCGTTCTCACCTCTGTTCCTTTGTGCTTATGACTAGTCTGCTTCACAGGGGAAGCTGGTTACACTAGAGTATCAGTTCTCAAACTGCGTCCCCCGGTAAAATGATTCTGTGGCCCAGTACATTTGGGAGATGGCGAGTTAAATAAAGTGAAGAAGGTTTTTTGATTGCACAACTTCTCAGAGCCTTTGGTGTACGTCCTGACTTTCCAGAAGCAGGATTTAGTGGGTAGGGTTCCTGCCCTCATTTGACCAGGGGACATGTTCTTCTGTTAAGCATCCTGCTAGGATCAGTGTTTCGTGGAACCCTCTTTGAGAAAGTTTGTCCTACAGAGAATACTGGGGGCCTGGGTTCAAGTCATGACTCAGTCCCCAATTCCCTGTGTGTCCCTGGGCCAGTCACCTTTCTTCTGCCCTCACCGTCTGTGCTGCATGAGGGACAGTTCCCAGCAGCCCTCTCGTAGCGCCACCTGTTTGTGTTTAGGAGGCAAGAGCTGCCATGTCTGTATCTGGATCTTGGCCTTGGCCTTTCCCTCTGCTCCTAACTTGCCACTAACTAAAAACCCACCGTCCATACACACCTCATCCGTTTTTCATCTAAGCCAAAGAGCTCTCCTACTAACTATTTCTCTCATCTGGAGCCACGTTCTTCTAGGCCAGAACCTTTGCGGTCATCCCTGACTGGATTCCCTCCCTTCTACTAAGCGTTCTTCTTTGATGTTCTTTCCAACTGTTTTCTTCTCCTTTGCCCCTCAGTCTCCTCTGGGGTCTCCTTTCCTCCAGTCCTTCCCGTCACGTTTGTTTCATCTGTGCATCAACCCATGAGACATAGGTTACTCATGCCACTCGTTGCTACCTTCTGATTTTCTCAACACTGACCTCTACACACACACACACACACACACACACACACACACACACACGTTTCCTCAACTGGGCTAAGTTCAGAGAGAACCTTTCCAAAGCCACACTGACTGGGAGGTGGCAGAGCTAGGTCCCAACCTCGGGATTTCTGAGAAAGTGCTTTCTCCTCTCTGCTCTCTGATCCTTGCAGCAGCCTGCCTGGAGGTCAGGGCAGAAATTGCCCCGCTTCCACTTTACAGTTGAGAAACATGGAGTCTGAAGGGAGTGTGGCCTGCATAGGCGAGTGCTTCGCAGGGTGACCCGCCATCCAGGTTTGCCTGGTACGACGAGTTTCCTGGGATGGTTGGTCACTCTTGTGCTGGACACGGTAGGTACCTAGTGCTGGGCACAAATGCCTTTTCCATGGCCGCACTGCCTCTCTGGAAGAGCTGTCTCCTGCGGCCTGGCCACCTGGCACCCCCTGTGAAGCAGCGAGTCCCACAGCCTGCTGACTTCTCCTTCCTCCACCCCTTTAGTCGGCCCCATGCTGATTGAGTTCAACGTACCTGTGGACCTGACGCTTCTGGCGAAACAGAACCCCGAGGTGAAGGTGGGTGGTCGCTACGCCCCCAAGGACTGCATCTCTCCTCACAAGGTGGCCATCATTATTCCATTCCGCAACCGGCAGGAACACCTCAAGTACTGGCTGTATTACTTGCACCCAATCCTGCAGCGTCAGCAGTTGGACTACGGCATCTATGTTATCAACCAGGTGAGGTGTCTGGGAAGGGTGAGCCAGGGAGGAAGTATGTGTATGTGCGCGCACTCTAAATATGAGAGTAAAGAGGTGGGCAAGGAAAAGAAAGAATTTCCTTGGTATCTGATTTTTACAACTCGATCACTATCACCCTCTTTATTTTCATTAGTGTAAATAGGCCAAATGCCATACAGTGGGCTTGCTTGTTGCTGTAACTCTTTAGGCAAGGAAATTGCTGGGATGCTTTGTTTGTGTGTTTGGGGTTTTTTTTGGAAGTCCCCTTCCAACAAAATGGAGAGAAAAATAACAGCTCTTATTCTCTCCAAATAAAGCAATGACTATTTTCTGTCTCTGGGTAGCTGTGTGTTTTCCTTTTAGAAAATAGAAATACCCACTTGGAGTCAGACCTTTAGTGAACTTCAGATTTACCCGGTTTAACTGCTGTTTCTGAGGTACTCACAAGAGACAATGCTTTTAGTTCAGGCCTGAATGCCAGGCCCCAGCGAAAGTTTGGGGAAGTTTTATTTGTGGTCCCCTGAAGATCATGTGGCCTGAACTGAGTCTGAGAAAAGAGCTTCTCTCTGTGTCTCTGATCCATGTGTGTATTGAGCTTAAAGAAGCTGTTGGAGGCATGTCAGCCTTCAGCACCATGACCTGGAGAAATCAGATTAATCATCGAGGCAGTTTTGTGTGTGTGTTTTTCTTTTCTTTTAAAAAATATTTCTATTGATTTCAGAAAGGGAGAGAGAGATAGAAACATCAATGATGAGAGCGAATCATGGACCAGCTGCCTCCTGCACACCCCACGCTGGGGAGTGAGCCCGTAATCTGGGCATGTGCCCTGACTGGGAATCGAACCGTGACCTCCCGGTTCATAGGTTGACGCTCAACCACTGAGCCCCACCGGCTGAGCACGAACACAGACATGTTAAAGGAAGAAGGAAGGATAGAAGTATAACTTTGGTATATCAAGTTTATTTTGAATACTTAATTCACCTCTTTAGACTATAACCTTCTAGGTGCAATAACACATCTAACTTATCTGTATACCAAATTTCATTGACATTCATCTGAAGAGACAGAGTATGCCCATTTCTAAAAGGCCGAATGTCCATTTCAAGATAAATTCTGAATCTGCTTGAGGTAGTAAGTTGACAGCTTCTATGAAAGTTGAGGGACTTTGTGTGGCTCCTTGGACCAGAAGGGAAGCTAAAACCAGCAGTGTGTCCCTCAAGCATTTCTGAGGCCCACTGTGCATAGTCCTGCACCAGTTACTGCAGAGAGATTCTAAAGAAGTGTAAGGCCCCAGTTCTGCCTGTCCCAAAGCTTCCATTCCCCTTTCTGGCGAGTGGACCCTTCCAGAAAACCATTTGTTAACAATCCCAAATAGCACGTGATTGGATGGTGGCTCCCAAATGCTCTGGAAGCCCAGGAAGGAGAGCAATGGTCTGGAAGAACCAGGATAAAAACTGGGTTCTAAAGGCTGGAGGGAGACATGGTCATCTTAGCTGGGGCCAGAGAATGGGGACTTTAAGGGAGAAAGCAGCCTTGCATGTTCCTGGAGAGCGAGATGACCATGGGGTAGGAAGGCAGCAGAGGTTCCAGGGCCCGGTGTTGGAGCTGAGTCTGTCAGGCAGGAAGGAGCAGATATCTGCTTTTCAAGGGAACTGAAGCTCAAGATTGGGAGACGGGTTGTGGGCAAATCCCTCGGGGCTCTTTGAGTCCCTTGGCCGAGTGAGGCATGGACCAGGGCCCTGAGAAAATCTATCAGTGAGATAGCTGTGGGTCAGTTACCGTAGAAGAATGTTGGAGAATGTAAGAGAGAGTAAGTAAATGCCAGGCCACTTCAATCCAAGTATTTGTTTAAGAAACAAATGTGAGAGAAACATCCATCAGTTGCCTCCTGCACCCATCCCTACCGGGGACTGAACCCTCAACCTGAGCATATGCCCTGACCGGGAATCGAACCAGCAACCTTTCGGTGCACGGGAAGATGCTCAACCAACTGAGCCACACTGACCAGGGAAGCCTCTACATCTTTTCCTTCTCTTCCAAGGGTTAACTTTCCTCTCTCTCTCCCTCTCCCTCTCCCTCTTGTTAATTGTTTTCTTCTGCTCCAGCTCCACCCTGGTTATTTCTTGGAAAAATACAATCTGATTTTGAGATAACCAAGTCTAAGGAGAAACTTAATTTTCCCCTGCCTTTCTAGGAGAGAGAGACAGACAGACAGACACAGACATCTTCGGTTGCCTCCCATACGCACCCTAACTGGGAATCTAACCTGCAACCTTTTAGTGTACTGGATGATGCTATAGATAACTGAACCACACCAGTCAGGGGAGAAACCTAAGCCTTTTGAAAGAAAGAGGCCAAGGAGAAACACTGCATCATTCCCCCTCTCTCCCCAATTTAACCTAGAAACTTCTTGTGTTCTCTGTTTTATAGTTGTTTTAGAGGAAGAAAGGGAGTTCAGAAAGGAGTTTGTAGCATCAGGCTTCAACCTTTATGTACTATTGAGCAAAGATGCGTCATTTGAGCCTCTCAGTGTCTTCCTGTCTCAGACACCCCACTGTCATTTTGACCATTTATCCCCAACCCCAATTAAGATTAGAGAGAAAGAAAAAAAGAAAAAAATTAGAAAAAAGATAAAGAAGAAAAAAACACCAAAAGATTAGAGAAACAGAAGGCTTAAACTAGGAGGGGGCTCTGAGACATCTAGTCCAGTGGTTCTTAAGTTTTTAAGAATAGAACCTCAAAAAAAAAAAAGAGAGAGAGAATAGAACCTCCACCCCCTAACTTACCCTTCAGTCTTTGCTGGGATTTGCCTGAACCTCTGAGGCCAGATAGTGTGAAAATGTCTGCTCTGTTTCACAGATGAAGCAACTGAGGCTCAGAGAAGGGAAGTAGAAGTCACATAAGTAACTGTAGGGCTGCAGCTCAAGACCCTGTCCCGATTCCTAGTGCCCTCTCATTGCACGGGCAGCAACTCTCTCCTCAAGGCCACTCAGCCCCTCCCTAAAGAGTTTCTTCTCAAAGCTGGGTCTCCAGGGCTGGGAGTGAGCTCCAGCTCAGACTGCCTGGGTTCTGGCTCTGCCACTGACCAGCTAGTGCCCTTCAGCATGAGTTCTTAAAAAATTTTTTTAAAACATTTTTATTGATTTCAGAGAGGAAGGGAGAGAGAGAGAGAGAGAGAGAGAGAAACATCAATGATGAGAGAGAATCACTGACTGGCTGCCTCCTGCATGCCCCTACTGGGGGTCGAGGCCAGAACCCAGGCATATGCCCTTGACCAGAATCAAACCTGGGACACTTCAGTCCGCAGGCTGATGCTCTATCCACTGAGCCGGCCCGGCTAGGGCGAGTATTTCAATTTGAGTTCAGCACAGTTCCTCCGTTTCCTGGTTGGTGGGAGGGCAAGGTTTTAGTACTTCCCACACTGGGCTGTGAAGCACCTGGCACCTGGTGAACCCTCAGTGACACTGGTTATTACTGCGATGACTGGAGTTTCTCCTCCTCACCCCCCCTTCTTCCTGCCTTTTTTCTCTAATCAGTACCGAGGTGATAAACTCTTTACTGCTCTCCCTCTTCCTGCTTCACCCCCCTCAGTCACTCAGGACCAGCGTTGGGACTCTCTCTCTCATTTGTGTGGCTTCCAGGGAGTCAGAGGAGAGCAGATAAGGACATAAAGCTGAGAACCATCAGATAACAGAATCTCAGGGGATGTAGTACCACGTCAGCCTACCAGCTCCTTCAGAACAGGGTTGTGTCTCAAGCTCCACACACAGGGGTGAGCTTTCACAGGCTTTTGTGGCTCCTACCCCTGTCCACATTAAGCTTATTAACCACCCCATTTTGGTTGCCTCCCACATGCACCCTTCCAGGCACCATGAGAACTTACATCTCACAATAAGGGGTGGGGGGCTTACCAGTCGACACGGAGAACAAGCATTGCTGTTTGTTCTCGGGTCTTCTGCCCGAGCACACCAGTGTCTGAGACTCCCATTAGGGTTCTGGCACGGCCAGCCTGTTGGAACTAAGGGTGCCACTCTGAGGCACAGAAGTCCTCCCCAAGGTCCAGCACTGGAACCGTGGTGCAGAGTGGACATCAAGGTGTCATAGTGGGTGGGGTGCATACTGCACTTCCTCATACTTTAAGGAAACTCTAAAACCACCCAAGATAAAGGGGAGACAAGTTGCCACCTGGCCCCACCAGCCCTAAACAAATACAGGATGTTTGTGGGATTAACCGCCACAGGAGTAAGTTACCACAGGTGAGGAATGCAGGCCCACCTGGCCAGGTGGATTTGTAATCACCATGGCAGCCCTCTGCCCTGGAGCCAGCACCCAGGCCTCGTCTCTCCACTTCCCTTTGTATATCCCCTGGCACCTCTGATCTCCCTCAGCTGCCCAAGATCTTTCTGGTTCTACCATGCCTGGCCCTTTCTTTAAACCCTTCTGTGTGTCCCTACTGCCCGCAGGCAAGGGTCTGCAGGGTCTGAAGCCCTGAGGTCAGCATCCAGGACCCTCTGAAGTCCAGCCCTGACCTGCCTCCAGCCACCTCCTCCCCAGGCTCCATTCACACCTTTGTGTCACAGCCATCCTGGGTTCTCCATCTTCACCCAGACACACTCCGCTCCCCCCTGTTGCCTTTGCTTATGCCTTCCCCGCTGCCCTGCTTGCCTGCCTTCCCTCCCCTACCTGCTCTCTTTCTGGCCACCATTTGAGGTCCCTCCCATCTCCCCCCACCCCCCAAACTTATTAGCTCTGTGAAACCCCAGGTGGGGCTGACCTCTCCCTCCCTGCCCTCCCAGGCCACTTAGCACACCCTAGGGAAGGATGAGAGGTGATTGCTTGTGTGTGCGCTCACCCAGCTGGCGGCTCCTGGACTCCCAGCCCCCAGTTCTGACCACCTCTCTCCCTGACCACCCGGCTCCGTGTGCTCGGTCAGGGTTTGGAGCACGGAGCCGTTCCCTTTGACTCCTACCCTGCACTTCCACCCACTCTCAGGACCCCTT